TGCAGTGCCGTTGTCCTGCATAGTTAGTAATTACAATACACAATAATATATTAATTTTATATAAAGCACAATAGTTCAATCCTCACAATATTCTACTAATATGAATAAGACCAAATTTTCATAATCAACACAATTTAATACAGCATAGTACTAGCGAAGACTCCATATGATAGGAATCCTGATAGATTCCCTCTCAAACATACCGAATACTGTAATTGTGGATATGTATAATTAGGTATATATGCAGTCTGGTTACCATAGTACAGGCTGTTATGCTTGCAATGTTTGTTAGTTTGAATCAAATCTTGGAACCTGAATTAAGAGACCTGATTCTGCAACCTAAATTGGCTCCAGGGTATCGAACTTCTCTACGGTCAACATCACACAACACACTACTTTTTACATACGCATGGAATGAAAACTCCTTTTTGTAAATTTTCTTCTGGTATCAAATGCAGTTTTGCTGGGTCTGATCCAACCATTCTAATAAGTATACCTTGCTTTTTGTATTAAATCATTTTAATACTCAAAATCAATAATTACATTGGTACTATACTTCAAAGGAGCTGGATTACATTTTAAACAAATTGTAATATACAAATATTAATACATAAGTCACTTTTATTGTAGAATGTTTCCCACAGTTGACATTTACGATTCACATCCAATGATAAGGGCAATGATAACCCTTGACTTCCAGGTCGTTATCAGCCAATATTTCTCACACTATAATTAAAAATACTATTAACAAGACCGCATTCGTTAAACATTTAATTTAATTCTACGTTAAACCTACCATCTACTTATTTATAAAGATTTATTGAAACTATTGTTTTAGGGTTTGATTCTCTTGCTAAAACTTGTTCTTCTCGCCAGACTGCAATCACGATCAGTTTAAGACCCAAAGAGAGAGAGGAAGAGGTCCTCGTTATGTGCGTAGACAATTACTAAGTTCATTGCCGTTAATGTAATCACGGAACATAAAGCTCTAATGAGACGGAAATGTATAAACTTCATTTGCGTGATTAATAGTTCCAGATAGATGTAGTAATTACATTGAGGTGGCGATGCTGGAAATTCACTTATCATGGATATTCTCTTTAGAGAACAAGCAATGTAAGTGAAACTGTCAACGTATAAATTGGGACGCTTAAGTAAATAAACATTAGAAGGAGGTATACAAAGATTCTTACCCTTCCACGGCGAACCTCACTTGGCATTATTAACAAATGGATTAAATTGAAAAATTAACTTAATCAATGTCAATTTAACGACGTAATAAACTCTCAATTCACTTATTATCACTATCATCACATAACACACACCGTGTAAAATAAAGTCATGTTCAGTTCACCGATAAATAACAGGTACCGTCGGTTCGTGGCGAGAATGCGCGAGAGTCGTGTTCGAGTCGAGCGACCGCCCGCGTCAACAACCAAGCAATAAGTGTCATCGTATCGTACAGCACGCGCGACGCTCCCGGACTCTTCCTTACACATGCAAAAACGCGGGAATAACAGTAAATGATTAAAGAAGAATCGTATTGTTCCGTATCCGTGTTACAAAGTTTCCTGATTCCGTTGAGATGTGATGAATGACTTGTGTGTATACAAAGAAACAGTACAATACTGACCATTTCTTACCGCGACTAGAAAGTTGAACAGTGACGGTGATGCCACAGATTCGTGTGATGTTTTTCATGTAATACCCACACGAATAGATTCGTGTTTATGTGTTATTAACATTGAGTAACGGTGTGTTAAGTTCCTATGTTTTACTAAAGCAAATGTACTGGTCACGCAGACTTGGATGTCTCAGATCATCAACTGTTACTTGAAATGGCATTAATTTTAATTTCAAAACAACGTTATTATTATGTTTATGTAATTATAAATTCTTTTGCAAATAAAATTCAAATTTAGTATACTTTACAATATATGTACATATTATTATTATTATGCATATCATATTGGACAGCAAAACAATAATAATTATTATGATAAGACGAGGTTTATCAATCGTTGTTTTCTTGGATGGAAAAGTTTAATTATATATCAGTCTCTCTCTCTTCTCTTCTCTCGTATCTTACCAGTAAATTGGGTGAATTCAATTTAGACCAGAGAGCCTCGACTTTATATTAAAAACGTAGATATTTATTGTTACATAAGTCCGTTCAGCACGTGGGTTCTAGTGAGCAAGCGTTCTGCACTGTAAGCACATAACAAACAACACCGTAATTTAACTAGAACAATATTAGAGTTGCTAGAATTTGAAAAAAAAAACATAATTACCATACTTGAAGAGTTTTTTGTGCTTTTACTGAGGCTTCAAACTGGCAACAGAGCGAGAAGAAGCCTCAAGAAATTCGGTAAAGCGTTTTTTATAACTTGAACGCATGCGTCTTCTAATGAATATTATCTCTCTTGTGCAAATAGGCTATTTGACTAAGTTTAGAAAATGTTTTAGATTATTCTATAGACGATATTGTACATAGCATATTAGTTTTGACAGTAAATTAGATCTTTTTATATTTAAAAATCACTATTAAAGTTTAAATTTCTAAATCCGCGGCAAAAAACGTGCCCTGACGTCACACGCCAGGCACCTACTCAAGGGCAAGAGCAGGAGGGGGGGGGGGGTGACAAGTCCAGAGTCCAGGAATACTCAAATTTGCGACTCGAATGAAAATACTATAATAAAAACTTTAATGATTGGTACGAGTATTGTAGTTTAGAAATATAGTGTTGGCCCTGAAAGACTGTGTCATGTTTGACGCTTGCCAACGTCACCAACGGGTCTCCGAAAATCTCACGTAAAACCGTATAACTGGGATAAATCCGAAGAAATATACACCCTTTATTAATAATAAGAATAAGGTCCTTTGACTTGTCAGATACGAGCAAGACAGTGGAGGCCCAATTTTTGGTTCCAGTTTTTTTCATAGTCTGCATATAGTTCTCTGTATTTGAAGAAAGACATTAGAACACTTTATTTAAAAACTATTAATTACTACGGTATATTCTTTAGTCAGTAGAATTATTTCTATGATGTGCCTAAAACTCTCTTGTTTTTCAGTTATGCGTTTAATTTGGTCAATGTACGATTTATTGTACGGCGTAACCGGCGTTATTCCAAAAAAAAAATTAATTAAAAGATACAAAAAAAGTAATTAAAATAAATTTAAGCATAATAAAATATTATGTTTATATAATTACATAATCTTAACTGTAAAATTTAATTCTAGTTATGAAAAATACCTTCTGTAACAATGAATTCCTAACCGCTATTGTTTAACCTGTATGTTGAATATATACTTCGCATACAGGTTAAATAGCGGGTAAAAACAAACTATTATTTATTGTTCACTGAGAATATGAGAAATACCAAACATTTCGCACGTATGATAAATTCTTTTTTATATTGGTACGTACGCTAATTATAACTAACTACCTTTTTTCCCGCAGTTTCACACCCCTTTATTAGATTTTTTTATCCCTTCGGCGAGGTGCTTTACCGGTATAATGTCCTTGTCTACACTAGCGATAAACTGTGTCGGTTGCGTAGTTCAGGCACAATTATGTTTCAAAGGAAATTTATAGGACGATATATCTTACATTATTCCATAAAAATGCAATGATAAGAAAGTTTCGTCTGCGTAGTAAATAAAACTTTAGTCTTTTATCTTGTACGTATATTGTACTAAAATATATTGTATCCGCAGATCAAAACTGATGTGTATCCGTGTCAGTACCCATTTCTTTTTGACTAATCTTGAACAGATCTTTCATATTGTTTTATTACATTTATATATAATGTAATAATAATATTCAACCACATTCACACAACGCCACCTAGTCCCAAACTATGCAAAGCTTGTACTATGGCTACTAGACAACTGATATATATATATTATACACAGAAACACCCAGACCAAATCAAATATTAAATGTTCATGCACACAAATGTTTGACTTGAGCGGGAATCGAACCCGTGACATTTGAAATTGAAATAGCAGTCCGTTACACAAACCACTACGCCATTCGGTCCTCAAACATATGCGATATATTTGATAACGTTTATAAAATTTAAAATTTATTTTGCTAAAATTAAGTATTTCATTTAGTAAGTTACTAATATCTAATCTAATTTAGTAATATTTGATTATTTTTACAACAACATCAACACCAAATCTGATATGAATTAGATATGCGTATTTAAATTACTATTTTTTTAAAACAATCGCAATGCAAAACGAAACATGTTGTGTTATTTAGTCTTTACCGTCAACCTTCATTTCAAGGTCATGTGTATTGACACTACTAGAAAACGTTAAATTTGTATCTGTTTTTAGGGAACTTGACTCTAATAACCCGTATTAAATTTGTATCGGTAGCCCCTACGTAAAATAGGGTAGAGTCCTATGTTTAAATAAATATTTGACTAATTATAACCTCACACATCTCACACGAGGCTGTCTGATCTCGAACTAGGCAGAGCCTGTACTATGGTGACCAGACCGCTCATAAACACACATATTTCTAAAAACATACATATTATAGATAAATTACGATTAAATGTAACATCTTATTTTGTCCTCGATTATCAATTTAATGTTTTTATTGTTTTGATATCTTAAAATCAACGTTAAATATATAAATGATTTGACAATAGTTATGTATGACGTCACGCCATAGTATTGATACAAAAACGTACCTACCTAATGTTTAACAAAAGATACTGATTAGACTTGACAGTCATCTACGCCATTCAAACGAAACAAAAACGAAAAAAAAGTATGATTATTATAAGTCCAGTTTAGGTTACTATGATATAATTCGGTGTTTTACATTGAATAGTATAATATCAACCTGCCTTGTTTTTCTATGAATTAAGTAATTGTGTAAGTTTTCGAAGTTCAGTTTTAAAGTAGAATTCAAAATAACAACCATGTTAAGTAATCTGAATTAATATTCATAATTACTATAAAATGTGATTCTTACCTTTTCGCTGTCAGTTGGCAAAGTTCCATAACCATACCAGCTTCTAGCGGCTTTTAAGCGGGGCTCATCACGTGGGGACAATAGGCCACTACCCCAACGCGCAAGACCTTCAGCTACTGCCGCCACACTCGGTGTGTTTGGACTTCCATTCGGAGAATTCGGAGACACAGCACTTTTCTCTGCGACAGGAGGTAACGTTGGACGCGCACATCCTGTCCGTCTCTCGTAAATTCGTTTCAAAGGCTCGTCGATGTCAGTCTCCAGTAGCCCTTTCTTGTCACTCCCTCGTTTAATCTCATTAATTCTTTTTACTTCGTCTTTCTGCGATCGTTTAGCCTCAACATCTTTTCTCTTTACGCTGTCATTTGAATCCTGGCGACAAAGGAGTGCTTTCTTTAAACTTTCACTCGAGTCCTGTTTTGAGATCTGACCCTTCTTTTCTGACTCTTTGATAGCCGTTTTCTTATCATCTTTTGATAACAATGCACGCTTTAAACTGTCAGTGGAGTCTTGTTTGCTGATAAGCTTTCGAGGGCATTCTGTATTCAATGAATCTGTCGTTTTCGAAATGAGAAGTTTAGGATAGTCATATGGACTATGGTCGCTCGCTGGGGGATTGAGTTCTAGAGACCTTCGGTTCTTCCGCTTGTCGGCTGGCGCGATTTGTGCCTTCGCGGGCAACAGTCGTCTCGGCAGCAAGCTGCGATGATCAGCAAGTGGCGATTCCGGTCGCAACATTTTGAGCGGCGATACTGAACTGCCGCGTGTCTGCACTCGCCTATAACAAACAAAGAAATGTTTTACAACAGGATTTACATAAACGTCTTTAAACACAGTTAAATTGTTACCTATTTTTACATAACAACAGTTATCTTCCGCAGTCTTTGAGTGGTCATTACAGTATTACTTATCTCTGACATGTAATCTTGTTAAGCCAGTACTGAGACTTAACCATGTCAATACAATTAATTCAATGTCGTTGCTAACATGGATTACTCCTGTGTCAATACGCCCGTTGGGATTCTCATATCACGTTACTTACAAGTGACATTCAGAGCGAATTCATATTATGCAAACACGGTATTGAGATAATGATATCACGTTATCTTGTATCTCTAAATTTCTGTGCCATACAGTCATAAAATACATTATATTTCAAACAAAATGCTTTCAGTACTCAAAGGTCGGGGTTTTTATGATAAGCAATGTCTAATGCTTACATTAAATGTTTCAATATATTATTTACTTCTGCAATGTATTATATTTCGACTGCTAAATTAAAACGATACTTAAAAAAACTATGCTATCGTCAAATTAACAATATTATTGTTTAATTACGTTTCTTCTAAGAATATAAATAATTTCTATGATTACTTATTAATAGTGTTAAGAAGCTACTGACATATCACTTTATAACATAAATAAACACTGTAATATAACATAAACAAACGACAAACGTAGGTACCTCTAGGCTGATAAACGCTGTCGGGGAGGAGACAGGTTCGGATCACCGATATATTCGGTTTCACGTCTCCGCCCCTACAGATGGCGCGCCGGTCAGACCGGCACCACCTGAACCACGTTGGGCGCTCAAGCGCTTAGATCGCGACCTCCTCCTGGAAGCTGCCATCGTACAGGCCTGGGCTCCTGCGCCGGACAGGCCTGTCGACGTCGATGCTGAAGCACAGTGGTTCCGGGAGGCCATGACCCGCGTCTGCGATGCGGCGATGCCTAGGGCTCAGCCCAATACTGCGAGGCGCCAGGTCTACTGGTGGTCGCCGGAGATCGCACGACTGCGTCAAGCTTGCGTGACCGCGCGCCGCCAGTGGTCCAGGTTCCGCAGGAGGCGTCGCCGCCCCGAAGATGCGGCAGCGAGAGAGGCGGAGCTGTTAGCGGGTTACAGGGTTGCCAAGAGGACCCTTCAGGCAGCGATAAAGCGGGCCAAGAGCGAGGCCCGCCGCGAGATGCTGGAGACACTGGAGCGGGATCCGTGGGGACGCCCCTACCGTATGGTTAGGGGCAAGATGCGCCCATGGGCCCCGCCGCTCACACGGTGTCTTCAGCCAGAGCTGCTTGAGAGGGTCGTTAGCTCCCTGTTTCCAACGCGAGTGGTGGAGCATACTCCGCCACAGATGGCTCCGCCTCCGGCGCTTGAGGCGCCTAACGTGGATGACGACGACGTGCCTGAGGTCACTGGGGTGGAACTAAGGGTGGCGGTGTTACGGCTTAAAGCCAAAAACACCGCCCCGGGACCCGATGGCATTCCTGGCCGAGCGTGGGTCCTGGCCTTAGTCGACGAGGCTCTCGAGCCCCGACTGCGAGGGTTCTTCAGCGCATGCCTCGAGCGGGGCCAGTTTCCGAAATTGTGGAGGACGGGGAAACTGGTCCTCATCCGAAAGGAGGGGCGCCTACCGGCCCATAGTGTTGCTTGACGAGGTGTGCAAGCTCTTTGAAAGAGTGATTGCAAGGCGCCTCGTCAAGCATCTCGTGATGGTTGGGCCGGATCTGGCGGACAACCAGTACGGTTTCCGTCAGGGGCGCTCCACCGTGGATGCGATCATGCGCGTAAAGGCTCTGGCGGAGGAAGCAGTCTCCCGGGGCGAAGTGGTGTTGGCGGTGTCCTTGGACATCGCCAACGCGTTCAACACTATGCCCTGGAGCTGCATCAGGGAGGCGCTCGTGTATCACGAAGTGCCTCTCTACCTCCGCCGCATAGTCGGGGCATATTTGTCGGAGAGAGCCGTCGTCTACCCCAGTAGGACCGGTCTCGGTAGGCGTGAAATGTCGTGCGGTGTTCCGCAGGGGTCGGTGTTAGGGCCACTCTTGTGGAACATCGGCTACGACTGGGTGCTTCGTGGTGCCTTCTTGGATGGTGTCGCCGTCGTGTGCTACGCGGACGACACACTTGTGACGGCGCGCGGCAAGACGCACCACGAGGCAACCCTGAGGGCCACGGCCGGGGTTGCCCAAGTCGTTGAGCGTATCCGGCGGCTGGGTCTCGAGGTGGCTCTGCACAAGTCCGAGGCCCTGTTCTTCCACGGGCTTCGGAGGAAGCCGCCTGAGGGATCTAGCCTCACGGTAGGAGGCACTCGCATCGGCATCGAGCCCTCGATCAGGTATCTGGGGCTCGTACTCGATGGCCGATGGGACTTCGGATATCATTTCCGAGGTCTGGTCCCCAAGTTGGTTGGGGCAGCGCGTGCGTTGGCGCGGCTGCTGCCCAACATGAAGGGACGCGATGACTCCTGCAGGAGACTCTACTCGGGGGTTGTGCGGTCCATGGCCCTTTACGGGTGCCCGGTATGGGCGGGGGTCCTGAAGGCCAGCAACGTCGCGATACTGCGACGACCGCAGCGAATGCTGGCCATCAGGATCATAAGGGGGTACCGCACGATCTCCTTTGAGGCAGCGAGTCTCCTGGCCGGAACTCCACCGTGGGACCTGGAGGCGAGAGCCCTTGCGGCACTGTATCAGTGGCGCAAGGAGGCGCAGGAGTTGGGTCGATGCCCCGAGATTCGAGAAATCGATGACCGGAAATCCCAACTCCGCCAGGTCATCATAGGGGAGTGGAGGGAACGACTCGGGCAACCGAGCGCTGGGCACGCCGTCATTGCGGCGGTAAGACCCGTTATGGAGGATTGGCTCGAGAGGCGTCACGGGACCCTCTCATACCGATTGACGCAGGTGATCACTGGGAAGGGATGTTTCGGAGATCACCTGTGTCTGATCCGCAAGGAGCCAACGCCTGAGTGCCACCATTGCGATGGCCAGACCGTGGACACGGCTCTCCACACGCTGGCAGAGTGTCCGGCGTGGGTTGAGCAGAGGCGAGACCTCGTGGCGGCCATCGGAGTGGGAGTTCTCGCGCTCGATAGCCTGATTGCGGCTATCGTGCGGAGCGAGAGTGCGTGGAACTCTGCGGTCTCCTTCTGCGAGCAAGTTATGCTCGCGAAGGAGACGGCGGAGCGGGACCGGGAGAGGTTTAGAACTCTCCCGGCCCGGGCACGGGCCAGGCAGCGCAGGCGACTCAGGCGCCGGAGGTCGCAGAACGACCTCCGTCCTCCATAAGCGCAGGCCTGGGGGTGACAGGTGAGGCCATCTGTCACCCTAGCAGAAGCAGGCCGGGGTGGCGGCGAGCGCGTTGCGAAGCGCGCTCTCTTCCAGGGAGCACAGGGAACATGGGGTTCCCACACGGGGCGGGGGTCGTCTACTCGTCTGTAGATGACCCGAGGTATGTCGGGGCACCAGGGACTTCCTTTCTAGGGTATACCTGGTTCCCCGGCTATTAGTACCCGGCGAAGGCGTGCGGTTTTAGTCGGTTCGAGTCCGACATGCCACCGACAGGTGGTATCCGAGGGGATTTCCGCACGGAGAAAAAAAAAAAAAAAAAAAAAAAAAAAGGCTGATAAACTAGTTATATGAAAAATATTAGTGTCAATATTAGATTTTTACTCACACAACGTAGCATTAAATACATATACGTGCCTAGCCCGTGCGTAGCCTGTGCTGTACTGTCACAAATATTTAGTAACACTAAAATATTGACTGCGAACTAACACCTAATCTGAAGAGAACTAAGTCTAATCCTGTCAGGATCTTTCAAAGGCCGCCAACGTATTTGAGATTTTTGAGGTGTCTATGGGTGGCGGTAATCTTACTATGAGGTGAACGGTATGCTTGTTTGCCCTCTGTACCATAAAAGAAACGACGTTTGAGGCTTTTTAAGAGAAAATTAATGATAAAGATAAAGTGTTGTAATCATCATCATCCTCATCAACAGCCTTTAATAGTCCACTACTGGACATAGGCCTCTCCTCCGGCTCAAACGCATGTATTTACTCTTACAAAATCTTTGAGCCAAGACAAGTTTTTAAAACTTTTGGGATAACAACAAAAGTGATGTTGTTGATTCCATGTTATTTTGATATAGGGGGGTATTTATTGCATATCAAAATATAAGAGACTAGTGGTGCCATCTGTCATTCAATCATAGAGACTAATAACCTAAGTATCAAAATTTGTTCTAGAAATAAATTTGTCTATTACAGAACGCAAAACGTGTAGTTTCATTAACACAAAGTATCATCTATTTGTTTTTCTAAACTAGTAAAATCGTTTAATCGAGTTAAAACGTTTAATCTCTTTTTTTTCAAACAGCATTAGGAACTCAATGCAATTCACACAATTGTACACCAAATTGCTTATATATATGCTAATTTTAACAAAAATAAACTACATACTATTACAATTGTAAAACTCAGACGAACAAAAAGAAACAACAAAAAAAATTGTTCAGAAAAACAATCTTACATCAACTTAGGAACTATAAAATTACTCTTTAACATTTAAATAAATATGAATGTTTTGCATCTGGACTACACTAAAGAAACTCATTGATAAGCCTAACTGCTATAGCAGAGGGGCTATTGTCAGCCTGGGGAGAGCGCCACGTAGGTGGAAAACACAGGTCACTATGTTGTCGTCTTACAATTCCACGCATATATTGGTCGGGAACATAAAAATGTATTGATTCCCGTACAACAGGGCTATCTACCTTATTCACCAGTATCAGACAATAATGCATTATATGTGTAGATTCAAACCTGAGTTGAAGTAATGAAACATTAAAGGATACAGAAAGGGGTAGTATCCAGATCCAGACTATTGCATTATAACTTGAGTGTTCTTAAATTGGGATTTATTCTAATAATATATCCTATGTCGCGAGGGACTTTACA